CCCCCACTAACCTGGACAGAGAGGGAGCCCACCACCACCTTCTCATCCCCGGGGGGGCTCTTGCACTCCAGCTCGTTGGTTATGTGGGGGATCATGTGGTCCAGGTCCCCATTCTGCAGCTTCTCTGTGACCCCCTCGTCCTGGTCCTTCTTGGACGGCAGAGCCTCGGGGCCGTAGTGGCTGTGCCCGTGGTGGTGCTGTGGGACATGGAGGGGACACGGGTGGCTCCACGGGGGGGTCAGCCACCCCTATGAGTTCTGCCAGTCCCCACCCACGCAGCCCCAGCTCGGCCTCACCTCATCCTTCTGCTTCAGGAGCATCTTCAGGATCTTCTCTGTGAAGAAGAAGAGGTAGAAACCCCCAAACACCACGGCGGATTTGGAAACGTAATAATCTTCTTGGGGGTTGAAGCCAAACGCCTGCAGGGAACAGGGGACACGGGGCTGAGGAACAGGCTCCTGAGTCCTTCCTCTGCCTGGCACCTCTGGGGCTACTCTGCTGCTTTCTGACCTCTCTCCAAGCTCAGAAGAAGCCTGGGTGCACCTTTCATCTCCTTCACTCCCCCATTGAGCTGGCTGGGCCCCCGGGCACCGCATCCACCGCCCCACACCGGGGCAGGGAGGCTGAAAACCAGCTCTGAGCACCTCTCAGCACAGCAGCAACCTGCCTGCAGGGCTAGAAAGGGCCACAAACCGGACGGTTTTCTGCTTGAAGCAGACCACAGATCTCCCTGGAGCCGTTCCCCTTCCAAGGAGGGGGTGAAACACCAGCTCCAACTCCCTTCCAGCCTCCATACCTCAACTCCGGGCTCCCCTCCGACGCCGCCTTCCCCTTCCTCCAGCCAGAGAGAGAGAGAGAGAAACAGCCCCCGAGAGAGAGAGAAAAGGACAGAGCCGCCGGGCCTCACCCTACCTCGGGAATGAGCTGGAAGAGGGCGTTGGAGTAGAGAGTTCCAATCGCCAGAGCTATGAAGTAGAGGAGCAGTCTCTTGTAAAAGGTCTTCTTCATGAAGGGCACCACGCTGGCTCCCACCAGCGAGCAGAGGGAGATGACGGTGACGCAGAGGAAACCGTAACCCCAGACTGTGCCCGGAGGTGCCAAACCCACCCCGGGGGGGGAGGCCAAGGGGAGGGGGGGAAAAAGGAGATCAACGTGGGGAAGGGAGGGGAAGGAATCCACGCCGAAAGGAAAGAGAGAGAGGAGAGAGGGAGGGAGAGAGGGGAGGAGAGAAGAGGACATTCATTAGTGATTGCTTGTTCATCCGGCAGTGGTTCGGGAGGGTCAACCTGGGGCTGAGTGGCTCTGGAAACGGCCAGCAAGGGAGGATCAGGGGGGAAGCCCCACTGTGGAGCCCCCCCAGCTTGGAGCTCTTTCAGCACTGAGGGCAAGA